AAAAAAAAAAAAAGATGTTGGCATTAGTTATTGGATAAATTGAAAAAAAAAATAGAAAAGATTGTAGAAGGAACCTAGAGTATGATATTGAAGGTAATACAATGAATGCAATAGAAATATATGATATTTATAGGGATATGATTAATATCCCGTCGGATTCAACAACTGTCCGATATTTTTGATTCTGATATGATTAATATCCCGTCGGATCCTATCCGATTTACTTGATTATGCTTATGATGAGTTGACAAAAATATGTGGACAATTTTAATGCAATATGTATTAATAAATTTGTGAACAAATAAAATCCTATAAAATCAGACCATATATCCGTTGGTAATAAAAAAAAAGAATAATTGCCAAACAAATGTTAAAACTGAAAAGCCGTCAAATCGTCAATTTTGTAGTTGTCCAAAAAATCTGTAGTTATCGTGGAAAATTGGTAACAACAATTCATATATAAAATTAATCAAAATCCTAGAAATATAGTTAACAAAATCCTATAACTTTGGTAAGGCAATTTCGATCATTATCTTCAAGATGTTGTAATAATTATTAAAATTGTGAATATATAAAATCCCACAAAATCCGCTGAACAGGTTAAGAAAATCCGAACTAATTTTGCTATAAGAGATTTATTACTTAAATTAATGATCTTCAAGATTTTGTAGTAATTATTAAAATTGCGAATATATAGAATCCCACAGCTGAATTGGTTAAGAAAATCCAAACTAATTTTGCTATGAGAGATTTATTACTTAAATTAATGATCTTCAAAATTTTATAGTGATTATTAAAATTGTGAATATATAAAACCCCCACAGAATCCGCTGAATTGGTTAAGAAAATCTGAACTAATTTTGCTATGAGAGATTTATTACTTAAACTAATGATCTTCAAGATTTTATAGTAATTATTAAAATTGTGAACATATAAAACCCCACAGAATCCGCTGAATTGGTTAAGAAAATCTGAACTAATTTGCTATGAGAGATTTATTACTTAAATTTAATTTTAACGCGTGGGGCACATCGGTGTTACTTAAATTAGTAAATCAAAACATTATTTTTCAAGTCAAACATACTATTTTTGTATTTTCCCAACAACCTCTTTATATTACTATAGATATCTCTATGTACAAACAAACACACACACACACACACACACACACACACACATATATATATATATATATATATATATATATATATTTCACTAAGACATTAAAATAAGTTAATTGATTTTTAATGCATAGTCAAACCCCCTTAAATCGCATAAGTAGTTATAATTTTAATTTTAATAATTTTCAGCTAAGTCATTGCTAATGATACCTTAAAGTTAAAAAAAAAATAAAAAAATTAAGTTACATTATTCATTACATTTTATGCAATTAATAGATGATCAATCTTGTACCATGTGAGAACATTATTTATTTTATATTTTAATATTATATAATACATATAAATATATAATTTATTATACTTTATTCACATTCGTACATGTGAACATGATCAAGCACTGAATGCTTTCTTATGGTTAGGTAATTATATAGATTCTAAATGAGCAATTTTGACCATAAAATTTAGAAATTTTCATCATTTTCACAGTTGTATTTTTCATGTGGCAGAATTTCAATTTTCAGAAATTTGCTTAAATTTTTATTTACTATGATTGTTCTTTTGCCAATTTTGTATTCAAGCATGTTCTTTTAACCAATTACTAAATAGGTAGATTTGTAAAAATACTATACTACATTTCACTTTCTACCATTGGCCATAATAAATGGAAAATTTAGCATTGGCCATTTGTGCATATTTGACTTTCTACCATTTATTCTTTCCATTTTAGATGATTATAGTTTGTGAAATTCCCTGTATTAATTCAAAATGTGTTGAGTCTAAATAGCAGGCTCGCACGTTTCGAAGTTCTACATATGACAACATCATGCTTTGTATTTAGGTTCATATAAAAAATTTGAAAACAAAACTGGCTTGAAAAGTGTTATAAATAATTTTTCACCATACATTATTGTCTCCCATCAATTTTTCTTTCATTACCAACTTTATCTTAAATTTAAAAATCAACAAATCTTTATTTTCTTATTTCATTTTACTAAGGATTTATCTCATTCATCATTTTTTTTAATAAACACAAAACTTAACTAAACACGCCCTTTATCTTAATTCTCGTCATTTTTAGCCTTTACCTTAATTATCATCCCTTATCTTATTTATCCAAGTCTATAAATTTTAATCCACTCATCATATCTTTCTATTTTCCAAGTTGATAAATTTTAAGTAGAACTAATAATGTTATGTACAGAGAAATTCTCAAGTATTTGAAACAAAATAACAATGTATAGCAGTTTTTGTTTTATGAAACTTCCATTTATTTATTTTGTATATACTTACAATAACTAAATTCTTTTACTTTTTTTGTTCAAATATTTTTTTTCATGCACCCGCGTAGTACACATGTGTCGTACTAGTTCTTTTTATTTTTAAATACGGACACAACTATGGTCAGTCTTATGGATAGACATTAGTCCATCATATTTTTTTTATACAAATTTTTTGTCTATATTGTTATTTAAGATATACCATTATAAATTTGAAATTAAATATGTGCAAAGCCAAAACTTGATATAATATAATTTATACATGAAAATAAAAATGTGATTATAAGGAATCTAATCATACTAATTAAGGATTACTCAAAATTTGACCCGAAAGTTACATTAATTCTCAATTCAAACTACATAATTGGACCATGGTCAAACTTATTTATCATTTTAGCTAAAAAAAATCATATTTGCAATTTGCATTTATAATAACTTTCATATAATTAGGGTGAAACAAGAAAATATATGTCAAAACCAAAGAAGTGAATTAAGGTTAGTTTATATTATTATGTATGCATATATTTTGCTCCACAATTTATTTTTATTTTTATTTTTATAATTATTTTTATTTTTGTGTAATTCATATTTTTCCTTCCCTTCATTTTTTTCCTTCTCAAATGTTAAAAGTTATGTTTGGATCTTGATTTTGAAGGGACTTTTAGGAAAAAAAAAAAAGAGTGTTAATTTATTTATGATAAAATATTTGATGTTAATTAAACTTTCAAAATGTTTTTTTATTAATTTAATATTTTTATTTATAAGTATTTGATATAATTAAAAAAAAAAACTTTGGATACAGAGCTACCAATAATAATGCGCCTAATGGAGTCCATTGATGAAGAGCATTGCTACACTAAGGACGGGACCGTTGACTACCTGAACCGGCCGGCCGATCGGAAGAAAACCGGAACCTGGAAGGCTTGCCCCTTTATTCTAGGTATTATTATTACACAACAATTAAATTGGAGATTTTGAGGTATTATAATTATATATATGTATATATATATATATATAGTATAAAAAATTGTATAATATCCATTAGGTCAAATTGCTAATAATTAATGGACATTTTGTTGTAATTTTTGTCTATTTATTTTTCCAATCAATTTATATATAAATCCATGTTACGTAAGCTATCGTTTTAGGTTTTGGAACGTGTTTTAAATATCGTATCGTTAGTTTTTGGATCTCGGTTTAAATGGTTTTAACGACTTTAATAAAATTAATTAAAGCCACATTTATTAATGCCAATTTTCATTGGAAAAAACGTAAAATTTTGAATTTTAGATTTATGTAAAGATTTTGATTGGAAAATAAAAATGCACCATTAAAGTTCCGATTTTAACCCATTTTTTAGAATGTATTTGCCTAATATTTTCCAGTTAAACATGAATTTTTCGGTATAAAATAAAGTTTTTTTCTTTTTTTTTTGGCTAAAAATGATTTTTCTGAGGGTAACTATAACCATATCCGTCGAACCACCAGTATCCATTACAACCATATAATTACTTTTTTAGTATTTAAAAAATAAATTATATTTATATACTTATGAATAAAAATTACCCTTGTACTAAAAAAGCTTACTTCATGCAGGGCATGAGTGTCTTGAAAGATTAGCCTACTATGGAATGAGCTCAAATCTGTTGCAATATTTCAAAGATCAGCTCAATCAGCACAGTACAACTGCTTCGAAAAGCCTGTCGAATTGGTCGGGAACTTGTTACGCTATGCCGCTAGTCGGAGCCTTTCTTGCCGACTCGTATCTCGGAAGATACAACACGATCGCCGGTTTTTCCGTCATCTATGTTGTCGTGAGTCTCGAGTTCACTCGCTTATTACATCTATACGAAAGACTTGGAAATATCTCAAAAACCATTTAGAGTGAATGAGAAATTAATTTTTAATTGGTATATGTATAAAAGTTGGTTAGAATCGAAAACAAAACAAGTTCAAATCTCGAAAAATATTGAAAATTGTAGTTTGGAAAAATGCAGAAAAGCAGTCCCGTCATGAAGTGACGAGCAAAGTATTTGGCTCGTCACGACCCCACGACGTCTACTCTGTTGTTCAATCTATTTTATCTTAAGCATCCAATTTTGTACTTTTCATAAACATACCTTTATCTTAAAACTCGAGTTCAACTCGTGATTAATCGGCCGAGCTCGAACTCGATTACAGACTCTTACTCCTCTATATTTCTCTGTAATGCATGGTTTGGCTCTTATTTCTCTATAAATGAGTCGAGTCGAACTCAATCTCGATTACTGGTTTGCACTCTGAGTTCTTGTGTGGTCACTTATTTCTCTACATTTCTCTATAAATGACTCAAGCTCTAGCTCGATTTTACACTCCTAGTTGTTGTGTGATCTCTTAATTCTCTATATAAATGAGCCGAGTTGGAGCTCGATTTTACACCCCTAGTTGTTGCGTGATCCCTTATTTGTCTATATTGTTATTACAGGGAATGGCACTGTTAACTCTATCCACCTCAATCCCCGGCCTTAAGCCGACGTGCCACGAGAAGGACACGTGTCATGCGACCAGCTCTCAGGCCGCATTATGCTACACGGCCCTCTACTTCATGGCACTTGGGTCCGGAGCCATCAAACCATGTGTCTCGTCTTACGGGGCTGACCAGTTTGACGATGTGGATGAGCCCGAGCGGGCCCGCAAGTCCTCATTCTTTGTTTGGTTCTACTTCTCGATCAACCTTGGGGCCCTCGTAGCCACTTCCGTGGTCATGTGGGTCCAGGCCCAAGACGGTTGGGCCTGGGGTTTCGGCATCCCGACCATAGCCATGGCTGGGGCCGCGGGCTTTTTTTTCGCCGGGACTCGGGTGTACCGGTACCAGAGGCCCGGAGGGAGCCCGCTGACCCGTCTCTGCCAGGTGGTGGTGGCCTCGGTTAGGAAGTACCGGGTGGTGGTGCCAGAGGACGGGTGTATGCTTTACGAGACGTCAGATGCTCAGTCCGCGATAGTCGGGAGCCGCAAGCTCAACCACACGGAACAATTTCGGTAACTACGTCGAACTTATCGATGTTTCGCCATTTCTTAACTTGTTGACGCAAGCTAGGGCTGTAAACAAGTCGAGCTCGAGTCCTTAGCGAGCCAGTAATCGAACTCGAGCTTGGCTGGTTAGCGCCCAAACTAATAAAAAAAATTGTAAAAAATATCTTTCCGAACTTTATCGAGCGGAACTGAGTTCGTCTCGTTAGCTCAATGAACTTTAAATGAGCTCGAGCGGTAAACGAGCCGAGTTGAGCCAGAGCTTTGAACTCACGAGCGGCTCGTCTAACAGCTCCAGACCGCAACACAATATAATAAACTCCAAACAAGTAGAGACACAACATAGAAACACGAAATTTACAGCCTTCCTTCGAATTTTTCAAAAAAAAAAAAAAAA